ATATAAGAGCAACTATTTAATTATAACAATTAGCTTATGAAATATATGAAATTGATTTCTTCATTTGAGAAAACTTTTATGTTCTTGACTGTGCATTCTTTATCCAAGTCTTGGCAATGAGATTTGGTAGTGACTCAATTCAAGTTGGTGGAGTAATACTTTAGGCTTAAAGTGTTTCTACTTGTCTTGGTCCGGATTTGCAAGTAAGTGTGATTTAGTCAATGTTTTTAATTTGGCCGAATTTCTACTTGATTTTTGGAGTATGTTGTAATTAGTTTATTGATTATAATGAATTGAATTAAATTTATAAATGGAATCCTTATGTTTGTGAATATCATTATTAAATTTTTAAGATTTGTTTAATAAGTGTATAACCCTAGTTAGTAAATACACGTTTTATACGCGTATTTACGTACTTTTTAAATGGGTGCCTAATTATTTCGAATTTTTGATATATCCGTATAATTCGCATATTATACGCGAATTATTCGCGAATGATTGAAAAAAAAAAGGAACTGATTGAAACGACGTCGTTTTGGTGGGGGAAGAAGAAATAAAAATCAATGGAAATTAAATAGCCGTTAGAAGAAGAGTGGAATGTGACAAGATCTAATTATTTTGTTCAAATTCAGAATCCCAAAGCAATCTCTGACGTGTGGGGTCTAAATTAAGTGATGATTTATTAATAACATGGGATTATAAAATCGAAATAAAATACTAATTAACCCAACAAAAATTATCTGGGGTTTCCTAATAATAATTATTATAAAAATACAATTATATTGTCTTCTTTTGTAAGGGAAAAGATTGAAAAAGGGGTTTTAGATTAGATTAATGATATTAAAATAATCTTATTCTTTATGTTAAATAACCTTAAATAAGGTTTAATTATTATAAAGAATAACTGATATTCAACCTAGTAATCTAGTAGTCTTAACTTTTATTGAATCAAAATAAATAAATAAATGATAAACAATTAAAGTCATATATTATGGGTATTGTAACACTAATATTTTATATAGATTTGTGAGACAAAATTTTAGTTCTTTATTTAATATAATTTAATGGATTAATGGAAAGTTAAAATTGGTTGCATTTAATAATAAACTTGTCAAGTTTTAAATTAATAAAGAATTATGGCTAAATATTGTGTTTGAGTCTGAAGACTACAATTTGAATATCAGTTATTTTTATAATAATTATTATTTAACCTTATTTAAGGTTATTTAACATAAAGAATAAGCTTATTTAACCAGGTAATCCATAAAAGTATCAAAACTAAGATTGATATTGTCGTATTTTTCAAAACGTATTATTGACAATGCACCGTATTAAACCCGTACAGTATTTTTTCCGCACCCAAATTTTATGGCCGAATTTTTATAAACGTATTTTTCACCGTTTGTCGTATTATACCCGTAAAATTCCCGTACCGTTTTTTTGACGTACCCGTATTTACTAACTAGGTGTATAACCAGGATTTGCACTCAGCTGAGCTGAGCTGTACATTTGTCCAATTTAAAAGGCTAGGTCTTTATGCGTTCCCGTTCGGAATTAAATTATCTTTTGGTCCTTGTCTTTAAGCTAAATCCCAAGTTTCACCCTCTCTCTCTTGCGTTTTAAATTTAACAACTCCAATTTCCCCATTTATTAATTAAATTAAATTATTATAGGAAGTTGATAGAAATTTTCGTTAATTTAAAATACTGAAAGAGGAACAATTCAATATAAAATATGTTTATTATATGTATTTCTTAATTGACCAATATATGAATAATTTATGATGCATTTTCATGTGAATTCTAACAAAATGTTTGGAATATATTTTAGAGTCATAAGGAACTATTAGTGAAAATTAATAGTTATTTCTATTGATTTATTAGAATCTAATAACGAACTTTGACCCCTAATTAAATATTCTAAATCATATATTTTAATTAATTAAGGTTATGTCACCACTCATCATCTTTACTAACTCGTAGATCCATGCCAAACATAAAGCATTTTCCTTTTCTTTCCACCGCAAAATCATGTGTCTCATCATTTTCTTAAGATTCTAATTATGCTTTAATTTCCACCTTATTTTGCTTTACTGTAGCGTCCACTTCCTTTTCCTCGTTCGTCAAAAAGTTTAGAACTATTAGTCCCCCACTAGTAGGTCCATCCCAAACATAAAGCATTTTCCTTTTCTTTCCATCGCGAAATCATTGTGTCTCTCCTTTTCTTAAGATTCTTAATTTTCCTTTAATTTCCAGCTTTATTTGCTTTTCATGTATCGTTCACTTCCTTTACTTCTTGTACATTGAATTCAATTTCAGGATTATTCTCATAGAAAAGTAACCAAGTTCTCTTGCTTTCGCTCAAACTCACCGTTCTTTTACTTTGACATATCTATATTCATTTCTTCTTCGCGATAACTAAATCCATAGCATTTGGGTTGAGCCATTGTCTCTGAACTCTTTAAGGAGTTGTTTGAGAAATTGGCATTTGTGGTTGAGCCTCTGTAATATATGCTCGTTTGTCTTGAATCTTATAATTGATTGTCACCGTATTTGTAGTTTTGATAAGGCGATAGAAGTGCATAGATGGATCTTGTTCCATTTCCAACTCCGGAGCCAAAATCACTGAGATGTATGCCAGTGATTCCAATAAAGGAACCACGAAATTGGAATACAAAAGAATGCTCATGAATTTGGGACAGCACAAGGTAAGAATGCTCTGAATTGGGACACGCAAGGTAAGTATAAGTCGGAGATCATATTAAGTGTATGTTGCATAGTATTCTCATATCTTTCAAAAAACTAATATTACATATCGATAGATTCATAGATACATAGTACTTATATCATGTATACATAATATATTGAAATTAATAGTGAACGGAAAAAAACTAGAAAGGCATCTATTCACCATCCAATAACTCAATAAGCAAAAAGGGGAGACGAACCCACTTAAATGAGCCAAGCTGGAAATAATATTAGGGGTGTTCAAAAGAACCGATGGGAATTGGAACCGGCGGTATGGGGTTTGGTTTCGGTTTCTTACCCAGAACCCCGTCAACGGGTGTAATTCTGGATCCAAATTTTGGAACCATTACTATGCGGTTCCTGTTCCGGTTCCTACAGTTAGGAACTGAAACCCAAACCAGGAACCGAGACTAATATAAAATAAAATTAAAGAATAGGGGGGTTAACAAAAACTTTTGTAGAAAAAGTAATGTGGATACATTATATTCATATTTCATAACATTAAAGTAAGTTAGTTTGAATTTGAGAATCTAGCTTACAAAGCAATGGATTTTGTAATTTTGAATTTAAATTTGTAATTTTATTTTTGTTAACAAGTGCCAGGTGGGGGTTGGGGGGTATTTGTAAGTTTTTAAGGTTTTTTTCATTTTAAAAAAATTTGGGGGTCATGTAATTTTACAGGGTACTCAGAACCGAAAACCGTTTTACATGTTCCGGTCTGGGTACTTAGTTCTGGTTCCAAATTTCAAGGAATTGTCGATTCCGATTTTGGTTTCGATTTTTCAAAAAATGCAGGATCCCGGAACCGAACACCCCTAAATAATAGTGAACATATATAGTAAGTTAAAAGACTAATACATAGTACTCTTTCTTTCTTTCTTTCTTTCTTTTTTCCTTTCTCATTGTACAGAATTGGAATTAATAGTGAATGAAAGAGTACAAAAGATGATATACTATCTATAAAGTCTTTGAACTTACCTTACTCTTTCAGTGTTGATTCATCACTCTTTTGACTTTCAATTTTTTTTTTCCTCGTGTGTTTATAATTTGAATTAACAGTGGATGGATGAGTATAAAAGAGGATCATGTTCAACCATCCAGTTCTTCAGTTAGTGAAAAGAGAGATGAAACCACGCAAATAAGCAAGCTGATACTGATGAAATAACAATTGGGAATGGGATGTTGGAAGTCAAAAGAGTGCTGAAATAGTAATCAAAGCGAAAGGTAAGTTAAAAAACTATATAGATATTACTTTTACCTCAAAAATATTCTCTATGCACATATTTTGGAATTAATAGTGAACAGAAAGATTAAAGAAGGCAATCCTGTCAACCATCCAATAACTCGTCAGCAGAAAGGGAACTAAACCACTCAGACAACCAAGCTGACTCTAAAGAAACACGAAAATTTGGAAAATGAAAAGAGAAGAGGTAAGTATATATACATTTGGGTTTTTACAGTTGGGTTCCATTATCAAGTAGAACATGTTTGGACTTGGAATTTTGATATACATAATTCTTCTACCTCATATTTTCTCTCATGTGTATGTAATTTGGCATTGATAGTGAGCAGAAAGAGATATCATCTTCGACGTTCCAAAAATTTAGGTCGCAGAGAGATAGACAAAGCTGGTCCTAATGGAAAAAAGCGAAATTGGGGAAAAAGTAAAAGAAGTGCTGAATCAACACGGAAAGAAAAGGTGAGTTCAAAACTATATAGGTATTACTTCTACCTCCTACTTTATCTCATAGTACATATACAATTTGGAATTAAAGTAAATAGAGGAGAAAAAAGGCAGTCATTTTCCACTATCCAATACTCAGTTAGCATAAGGGAAGACGAAACCACTCAAACAAAGCAAGTTTATCCTAAAGAAAGCGAAATTTAAAAAAAAAAAAAAAAAAAAAAAAGTGATGAATCGGCATTGAAAGGGACACGTAAATTAAAGAGTAAAGGCTATATAGATAGTACTTCTTTCTTCTTCCTTCTTCCTTTTTTTTTTTCTTCTCATGTGTACATAATTTGGAATTAATAGTAAATGAAAAGAGTACAAAAAAAGGCGATCATGTTCAGTTAATAAAAAAGGAGATGAAACCACAAAAATAAAGAAAACCGATTGTGGTGATCAAATAACTGAAATTTCAGAAAGTCACGAGTGCTGAATTAGTATTGAAAGGGAATGGTAAGTTAAATACTGTATAGATAGTACTTCTATATCATATTTTTTTCTCGTGTGTACATAATTTGGATTTAATGCTGAACGGAAACAGTACAGGAACTGATAATGTTCAACCATCCAATAACTCGATTGGCAAAAAGGGAGACAAAACCACTAGTAGAACGAAGCGAGTTGATCTTACAGAAAAAACTGAAAGTGATCAATCAGTACTGAAAGGTAAAGGTATGTGACTCGGATAAAAATTGAAATTTCATGGTATTTATAATAAATTTCAAAGTCCTTTACCTACATTTTCACATATATATTATTTGGAATTGATAGAGAACAAAATGACCGAGGTGATAATAGCTGATAATGCTCGGTTCAAGCCATTAATCAAGGCTGTATGGGAGCAGAATTGGATACTTTTACTAGATTTGGTAGATAGAACTCCTGGGGCGTTGACTGAAACTGTTTCGGAAATTGGGGATACAATTTTTCACATAATTAATAAATCAGGTGCTCCCACTTCGATTATAAAGAAGCTTGCATTCAAGATCGAAGGAGAAGAACTTCAAAACTTGAGAGGAGTGTTTGGCCTATCTGTTATATCCCACGCTGCTATTTATGGCAATGAAAACGCTGCAAGAGTTTATGTCCTCAGGTACCCAGAATTTCCAAATGTAAGGAACGAAAAGGATTATCTTCCAATTCATGATGCAGTAGACTATGGCCAAGAGAGAGTAATTCAGTATCTTCTGTCAAAAACAAAGGTCCCTTTGGATGACGATAAAGGTGTTAAACTGATTAAAGATCTGATCAGTTCCGGTCACTATGGTAAGTGCAAAAGTAATTTTCTTATTTGTGATATGGTTAAATAACGTTAAATTATCACATTACCACTTTTATTATTATTATTATTATTATTATTATTATTATGACAAATATCGATAACATGAAGAAATTTTTTATTAAAAAATAAGAAAGAAACGATAAGGGACATAAAAAAAAAAATCACTATTACTTGATATAGATTTTTATTTTAATCAATTTAATTTGTGATTAATAATTAGCAATATAGAATATAATATAATCAAGGAATATATCCTGACCATACAGGAATAGAATGAGTTACAATGTAGGGGTGTTATAAAATAAAATAAATGGGGAAAATTAAAATGAGGGCACATGTTTATTAAAAGACAAAAATATGATATTTCATGGTATAAGATCATTTAATTTAACTTTATAAATAGTGATGGCAATGGCCAGGCCGGGATCGGGTACCCGTTGTCCCAGGCTCAACCCCGACCTCATGACAATGAATGAGAGTATAATTGATTTCTCCATATATACCATTACTCATATTTTTTTGTTAAATTAAATGATCTTATACAGTTAGGTGTCCTTTTTTATTTTTATTTTTTGGCTTTTTTAAACATGTATCCTCATTTTGATTTTCTCACTAAAATAAATCAAAACTTCTTAAGGTAAATTGGGGTAAGGAGAGGATCCAAATTGACGTGGATTCAATTATTACCTTATAATTAATATCCGTTTGATATCTTCTTGCATTATACAAAGTCAACTTGTATGTATGAGTTAGCATGCATGATGCATATCAGTGTAGCATCCCTCGAGCACTCAAAGGTTGTTGAAAGGCCTCGTTAATTTACCATTCTTCAAATCTGGAATTTGTATCATTCTGCACCAACTTAGGTTGACCATATATATTGTCTTGGCTTTCTTTTATTAGGTTTCTTTCATGTGTTCACCTCAGTGGTCTAGTGAACAGAATTTTTCATCCTAGTCTGACGCTGTCTACGTTACAATTTTCATTCTTACAACAAAACAATTGCCCTGCTAATTAATTTGTATTCATCTCTACTCCATTTACAGGTATAGCGTTAGAATTATGGGAGCGACATCCAAAGTTAGCTCTTGAAAAGAATTCAGACAGAAAAAGTATATTACAAATATTGGCTGGTAAACCTCTAGCTTTTAAAAGTGCGGGTAGGAATCGCCTTGGGTTTTGGAGAGGCTTGATCTATGATTGTTAGTAACAACATTCTTCCTCTGTATTTAATTCTCATGCCTTATAGATTCAGTTAAACGCATCTGTTATATTCACATGCTCTTCTTGTTGTTGCCTATCTCTGCAGGGATTCCTCTGCAAGAGGAATATGTTCCTCACAATGAAAGTAATACTGGGGACATAGAAAACGCGGTAAAGTGTTCAGATGAGTTTAAAGAATCCAAATATTTTGGACCTGTTCGTCAAATAATCTATGCTTCATTTGGTTTGTTCACCTCCTATCTATCTATATTTTAAATAAGTAGTCTTTTGAAATTGATTATCCTACAAACCAATACAGTTTGTAATAGCACTCCTTTGTATAACACAGGTGCTTTGCGCCAAATGATATGGCATGTCCTCATGCTGCTAGGTAATTGGCAATTTGGCATTGAACAATTCTCTTAATTAAATGGGCTGAATGACTTACGCATACCCAAGGTTTGTCGAAATAATAAGTTGGTATCTAAAAGGTTTTAAAACGACAAATAAGTACCTTCCGTCATGTTCTGTTAGTGATTTTTGTTTGATAATAGTGAAAAGAGTAGAATGCCCTTGAAAGTTTGATATTTTAGTTTTTTATAAATTTAAAAATTTTAAAAAAACCCCTTAGGTTTGCTAATTTAACTAAATACCCCAATATATAAAATTACAAAAACACCCCCACCACCTGCAGTGCCAGATTCCGACCGCCACCGTCGGGATCTGGCCGAAAAATTGCTTTACGACACAGGCCCATCAGATCTATGTCGTAACGCGTCGATCTGGCATTTTCTGACCAGATCCGTGGCTGATATGACCAAAAAAGGCCAGATCTATTGCCAGATCTAGCCGTCGGGGCTGCAATATGGCCGAAAAATTGTGTTACAACACAAACCCATCGGATCTGTGTCGTAACGGGTCGATCTGACATTTTTCGACAAGATCCGTGAAGGATCTGGCCGGAAAAGGCCAGATCTGGTTGGCGAGGCCGAAAAAGACCAGATGGAGTTTTGCGGCCTCAATGGCCAGATATGGACGTAGATATGGCCGGAAAAGGCCATATCGACGCGTTACGATACAAATCCGAAGGGTCTATGTCGTAACGTAATTTTTCGGTCAAACTTTCAAGGGCATTCTAGTCTTTTCACTATTATCAAATGAAAATCACTAACAAAACATGACAGAAGGTACTTATTTATCGTTTCAAAACTTTTTGAATACTAACTTGTCGTTTTGATAAATCTTAGGTATGTGTAAGTCATTCTCCTATTAAATGGAGTATGTTGAAGTAATTCTTTACCTTCTTTCATTGACTTGAGTTGTTTAATTGCAGTCCCAGACATCAAAGAACATTCGCGATATAAAGTTGACACATACACAAACCCTTACAATTGTTAGAATCTTGTGTCACAATGACATTACGTGGAATGGTAAAGAAGCCGTTGCAACTTTCTCATCGCCATTTGTTAAAGCTACAAAACTTGGGATTTGCGAGATTGTCAATGAAATTCTGAATGCATATTTCTATACCTACTGCTACAAAGATAATGATTACGGTGTACTGCATATGGCAATTTCACATCACCAAGAAAAGATTTTTAAAATTATAAAAGAAACGAAATTTTTTAAATTATCAACCTGGACAGCGGTCAACAAAGGTGGAAAAACGGACAACCTCTTGCATTTAGCTGGAAAGTTGGCATATTCAAGTCAAGTCTCCGGTGCAGCATTGCAAATGCAGAGAGAGATACAATGGTTCAAGGTGAATATATAATCCTGCAATATATATATATATATATATATATAAAATTTATTGACTTCAAATGATTATTTTATTCTTGCCTCTATGCCTTGACCTTACTTCCAACAACGGCGGTACTTTCATTTCACATATAGGATTATAAATTTATAATTTCACGTGCAAGAGGCATAGAAATCTGGCATTTTACTACTCTAAAGTCTCCTTTATTTTTTCTGGCCTCGTTAATAATTTTTTTTTTATAACATTTAATTCTTCTGTAACTATTGGAGATTTTTTTGTTGGAGAATCAAATTTATTGCTGCTCATGCTTATGCTAGTTAGAGATTTATCTTCAGGCAGTGGAAGGTTATGTCCATCCATCCCTTAAAGAGCAACAAAATGAAAATAATAAAACTCCTGGAGAAGTCTTTACCGAATAAGACAAAGAATTGGTTAAACAAGGTGAAAAATGGATGAAAGGAACTGCTACATCATGCAGTGTTGTAGCTGCATTGATAATAACTGTGGTTTTTACAGCAGCTTTCACCGTACTAGGTGGTAACAACAATGATGGGATACCCAATTTCTTGTATGACACAGCTCTCATAGTCTTTGTCATATCAGATGCGCTTGCACTCTTTTCTTCCACGGCTTCAATGGTGATGTTCTTGGCAATCCTCACTTCACGTTACGCAGAAGACGACTTTTTGGTGTCATTGCCAACGAAGTTAATCATCGGCCTCATCACCTATTCTTTTCTATTGCAAGCATGATGGTAGCATTTGGTGCAACCATTTACACATTTGTTTCTCATTCATGGAATTGGACTGTCATTCCAATTTTAGTACTCGGATGCCTTCCAGTGACCTTATTTGCCATGTTGCAATTTCCTATCTTGGTTGAAATTTTCTTTTCCACTTATAGACCAAGCATTTAACATAACCGCTAATAAATAAATAAATTTAGGATGTCACGTTGGCAATAGCAGCCGCACAAGTTCTTCCTCACTCCACAGAAGTTCTTACTCTAGTGAATAAACTTGTATGAGGTGTTAATTTCATCTCCTTTAGTGTGGTAGAGTCATTTATTTTTCTATCGTTTAATGTGAGGTGATTATTTCAAGGTTGAGGCACTTCTTCTTCTTCTGCTTATTATTATTATTATTGTTTCCTTGTAAGCCGTTTATGTATTTATCTTCTTCTTCTTCTTCTCCTAAGGTTTGTTTAACTTATTATAATATCAGTTTTGGGTTTTAAAATGCCTAATTTCATGGGCATACCCAAGGTGTTGGGCAGACCGCAGCCCACTTACAAAAATAGAATGGTTAATTTAGCACAACACCAAGGCCCATTTTGTCTAAATTATAGCGACTAATGATAATTTTATAAACTAATTATCAACAAATATAATTTTAAAAAAATTTCTTTCATTTACAAAGAAAGGAGAAATTCCAAATAAAAATAGAAGTTACTAATTGCATTAAATGATGGTAATTTATTTAATAAACAAATGCAATCCAAAATTAAGTCTTATCCTTAATGAATAATCATTCTAAGTAAATGCCATCTTACAATGAACAAGTCAATTAATTTATAAACTAACTTAATGGATCTCCGATAACAAATTTGGGATCACATTTTGAAAGCAGAAAAGAAAATTAAGAAGTGTAACAACTCCTCTTTAGTACTATTCTTATAATACGTACTATGTAAAATATAGATATGTATATAATATGAAAGATAGTGGGCTCAAATTTTTCTTTACTCATAAAAATATACTTCTTTACAAATACAAAATACCATGTATTAAAAACTTTCTAATTAATACAAAATATCATAGCTGGTGGACAGTGGTGCCAATACTCTTCGCTCCTCGACGTCCATCCGACCGCTGCTCCTAAATCCTGCAAAACAGAGAAGAACAACGGGGTGAGCACAACAATGCTCAGTAAGTAAATCATCTACTACCTGTCCCCATAACTCACTCTTTGGTTCTTTCCTTACTCGACTGTTCTGCTATTTCTATTTCTCACTGTTTTTCTCTTTCTTTCTAATACTGTTATTCTCNTTTTTGCATTTAATTTTGGCAATTTATTTATGCTTTACTACTTGTATTATTATATTCAATAAGCTAGAGTTAGAGTTTATGTTTCCGTTGCATAACAAGAGGGACATCAGGCACTGGATTGCTTTAATCGCATTAATTATTCTTTTCAGGGACATCATCCTCCAACTGAATTAGCTGCTATGGTTGCTGAGGCCAATACCACCTACCTTAATCAGCATCAATGGTACGCTGATAATGGTGCGAATAGTCATGTTACTTCTGATGCGGCTAATTTGGCAACTTCTCAGCCTTATGAAGGCACTGATACCGTGGGTGTAATGGGGCAGGTTTGATAACCTCACGTACTGGCAATACTACTATTAAAACTTCTTCCTCTACTCTTACTTTAAACGATGTTGCTTATTGTCCTCAAGCCTCTGCCCATCTTCTTTTCATTAATAAATTTTGTAAGGATAATAATGTGTTATTTGAACTTACTGGTTCCAATTTTTCTGTGAAGGACCTCAAGACGGGGGACACGCTCCTGAAGGGGCCCAGAGATAGAGGATTGTACCCGATCAACCTACAACAGCTATCATAATCTAAACTTCATGCTTTCTCCATGACTGTTAGGGTCAAGGCCTCTACCGCTACTTGGCACTATCGTTTGGGACATCCTTCGTCGTCTACTTTGCATCATGTTCTTCATAATTATTCTCTCCCTGTTAGTGATTCATTCAATAAAAAGTCCATTTGTGTGTCGTGTCAACTAGGTAAGTCTAAGCAGTTGCCATTTTCTGATTCCTCACGAGAGTCCACTGCTCCTCTAGAGTTAATTCATTCTGATGTCTGGTCCACTTCCACTCCATCTTTGAGTGGTTGTCTCTACTATGTTATTTTTATTGATGACTTTACTCGCTTTTGTTGGCTATATCCCATTTCTCATAAATCTCATGTTTATGCGACGTTTGCAAATTCAAAATTTTAGTAGAAAAGCAATTTAGTTATCCCATTAAGCAATTACAAAGTGACAATGGTGGCGAATACTGTTCCACCATTTTTAAACAATTTTTGAGTAATAATGGGATCTTTCATCGGCTTTCTTGTCCGCATACCTCTCAAGAAAACAGTCTTGCCGAGAGGAAACATCGTCATATAGTTGAAATGGGACTCACTCTCTTTGCACAATCTGGCTTACCTAAGAAATTTTGGGTCGATGCTTTCTTAACTTCCATTTTTATCATTAATCGGTTGCCCACTAAAGTTCTCAAGTTTTCTTCACCCTTTGAATGTCTATTTCATCTTCCTCCAGATTTTAGCTATTTTCGTTCCTTTGGGTGTCAATGTTTTCCATTTCTTCGACCTTACATGCCTAATAAACTCTCTTACCGTAGCACACCATGCATTTTCATTGGTTATTGTTCTAATCAAAAGGGATTTCGATGCTATGATCCTTCCTCCCGACGTGTGTATATTTCCAGAAATGTGATCTTTGATGAGGCAGTGTTCCGTGCTCGTGTACAATCTCCTATCATGGACTTTGGCAGTAGCGTTCCCTCAACAGGTAATTCTCCACCCTTACTTCTTTTTCCACCTTCACACATTTTTCCCTCATCTTCTCCTTCCACTTCAATTTCACCACCCCACACTACTCCAATAATTCCTACTGACCATGACTTCTCCATTCCACCAGACACTCCACTAGACATTGCCTCTCATGTTTCCTCTTCTCCGAGCAACATCCTTGAGCCCCCACCTACTGCTCCTACCAGTTCAGCCCCTTCTTTTCACGTTGTCACTAGATCATAAATTGGTCATCTTAAGCCCCACACATACTCTGATTTTCATCTCTATTGCTCAACACGTCACCCCCTTCGAGTTTTGCATGCAGGTGTGATTATTTTCGAGCCCCGTTCCTATGCTTAAGCTGCCACTATTCCTGAATGGCATTCAGCTATGGAGTCTGAATTCCAAGCTTTGTTAAAGAATCAAACCTGGACTTTATGTCCTCGTCCACCCGAAAAAAATGTTGTTCCAAGTAAATGGGTTTTTAAATCCAAACGCAGACCAGATGGAAGTATTGAAAGACTCAAAGCATGACTAGTTGCAGTTGGTTATCTCCAGCGTAGTGGTATTGATTTCTTTGACACATTCAGCCTAGTTATTAAACCTTCCACAGTTCACATGGTACTCTCCCTTACTGTCTCGTTTCATTGGGACATTCAGCAACTAGATGTGTCTAATGCTTTCCTTCATGGAATTTTGGATGAGGAAGTTTATATGGTTCAACCTAAAGGTTTTGAAGATCCTACCAATCCATAGTTTGTGTGTAAGTTGCATAAATCTATTTACGGATTAAAACAAGCTCCTCGAGCTTGGTTTAATCGCTTATCCACTGCCCTTTTATCTATTGGATTTGTAAGCTCTCAGGTTGATCACTCTCTTTTCACTTATCACCGTGACTCTACACATGCCTTCCTGCTAGTTTATGTGGATGACATGCTCATGACGTCTAATGTTCGGTCGTTTATTGATGAGCTGATCTCTAATCTTCAGCTAGACTTTGCTATGAAGGACCTTGGGCAGTTATCATACTTCTTGGGTATTAAAGCTACTTGTGATTCTTCTGGCTTACATCTTCAGCAGACAAGATATATTATTGATGTCTTGGATTGTGTCAATCTCATTGGCATATGTCCTTATCGTGCTCCATGTATTTCGGGTACTAAGCTATCCAAATTTGATGGCGACCCCCTGCTTGATCCTTTAGAATATCGTCACACAGTTGGTGCCTTACAATATCTAACTCTCACTTGTCCAGATATCGCCTACTCCGTCAATCAACTTTGCCAACATATGCAAGCACCAACTACAGCTCATTGGACTGCAGCCAAGTGTGTCCTACATTACCTAAAAAATACTTTGGACTTTGGCCTCTTTTACAGACCTGGTTCTTTCTCT